GATCATGGAATTGGATTCATTGATGGAGACAAGTATGAAGATAATAATTTGTTCAAGAATACCAATCAAGAAAGTTTAGAGTGGAAGGATGCAATTCTGCAAATCATGGCTGAAAACCAAAATGATGATTGCACCATGTTTCCATTTGGTGTTTACTCTTCTACTGCAATTGGAGATGGAATTTATCCTTGTTTGTACAAGTTAGATAAAGGAAAGGTTGTTGCTGTGAAGGTAGCCTTTGAAAGGTATGGAAATCCGAGATTTCACTAATTCAATTATTATATGAATCTGGTAATGATGATTTTAGTGAAAATATTGAATTTCACTATTTTCAGATTTTTCCACAAATAATATTACATGGTGATGATTGGTAGTTGTTCCGATGATGGTTTACCAACTTGAATAATAAAATAATTTCCAAATCATGATGATGAATGTGGGGAAAAATTCTTGGAGTTAAGATGTGTGAAAACTCTAAGAATTTGTTGATTGTGTTGCCAATATTTTTGAACTATTTTTCCAAGCCAAAACAAAATAATGAAATCTTGTTTATTGATTTAAACTTTTAAATAAGATAGTAAGATATTGTTCATTGATTTAATATATTTTTTCACATATTCTTGACGTGCCTTCACCAAACTCTCTTAGCACCTTGCTTGGTTTTCTTTACAACAATTCAAGTGATTATTCACAAGATAATGGAAAATGAGAGCAAACCACAATTTATTGTTGTGAATTTGGTGAAGGCAAAACTTCAGGGTGTAAAATAACCCAAGTATTAAACCGATATCAAGATCTTCTATTGCTGGTCTAGTTAGGTCCTAAAAGACAGCTCGACCCGTTCCCGACGATCAATAGAATTTCGTGTCTATGTTGTAGAGGGTTGGTGATAAATACCAATTCACGTTCTATAGGTGCCATTACATCTGCTAATACCCATTCTTTTTTTGACTTGTTTTTATTATTCAACATGAACTGTTTCAATAGTGAACTAGTTCATAAACTAGTTGAATGTGAAGCAGGGGTTCCCGAGTGGTCAAAGGGGGTAGACTCAAGTTCTACTGCGCAAGCTTCGTGGGTTCAAATCCCACCTTCTGCAGCTTTTGTTTCTCTTTATTTCATTTTTGTTTTTTAATACACACTATTAACATAACAGGTACTAAATAACATCTAGTTTATATGGTAAAAATTATGTTTAATTACATCAAGATTGTATCAAGATAATCAGTAATGATTACCCACCTAAAATTTTAAAGATAAAAATAAAGGCGAAATTCACACTTTTTTTGGAACTACCATGACCAATTGGTTCAAGCAAACGTTATTAAATACTGGTCAACCATTTTTTTGCTGTGATGGTTTTTCTTGACGAGTTGTCTTGTTGTAAACTTAAAAGTATTTTTGATGGGTACATCACATCTTTTAAACTTCAATCATAATGGTTGTTTAACACTTTTCAAAATCAAAAAAATCATTGCAAGACATCTCCATGCCTGCTGAAAAGAAAGACAAGAAGAGAAAAACACCAGAGACAAGCTCTGACATTACCCCAAAGAAAGACAAGAAGAAGACCAAGAAGGAACAAACCATTATTGCCAGTACTCCTTCCACTTCTTCACAACCAGCAACTCCATCAAGCTCTAAGAGTGATACCTCTCTTCCATTTTCAACAGATTCTCCACTCACATTCAGTCCACCTGTTCCTCCAAGACCAAAGATAGTTGCCTCTGAAAGAAGAGCTTGNGAGTTGACCACCAACAATAGAGCAATTGACAATCTTTTTGAATTGTGCTATTCTATTCCTGAATACCAACGTCCTTATGCTTGGGAAG